GGATTATAGGTGTCCACCATGATGCCCAGCAAATTTTTGTATTTTTAAAATTTTATTTATTTATTTTTGTTTTTAAAGATGGGGTTTCACCATGAGGGACAGGCTGATCTTGAACTGCTGACCTCAGGTGATCCACCCACCTAGGCCTCCCAAAGTGCTAGGATTACAGGCGTGAGCCGCCACACCTGGCCGAATTTTTGTATTTTTATTAGAGACAGGGTTTCACCATGTTGGCCAGGCTTGTCTCAAACTCCTGACCTCAAGTTATCTGCCTGCCTTGACCTCCCAAAGTGCTGGGACTACAGGTGTGAGTCACCACACCCAACCTAGACATTCTTATATTTGTACATTTTGGCTTTCTTTCTTTTTTTTTAAAAGGGCTTTCTTTTAACAAAATGTTTCAGTGACATCATTCAGTGACATGCATATAACTTTTTTCTTCCTAAGTATTTATTTGGATAAATTTCCAGGAGTGGTATTATGGGAAATGCATTAATATTTTAATTACCTTTGACATATATGCTAGGTTGCTGTCTATAAAACACAGACTACATATTTTAATTTTAGAATCCCTCTCCACATCCTGATTCTTCTACTTGTTTTAGCTAAAAATGCAAAACTTAATTATACCTTTCTGTGTATTTATTTTTCTTTTCTTCTTCAAATTTTATTTTGGATTTACAGGGTATATGTGCAGGCTCATTACATGGATAAATTGCATGATACTGAGGTTTGGGGTACAAATGATTCTGTCATCCTGGTACCAAGTATTGTACCCAATAGTTTTTCAACCCTTGCTCCCTCTCTCCATTGCCCTCCCACCAAACCTCCAGTTTGTATTGCTGCTATTTTTATGTCCATGAGTACCTAATGGTTAGCTCCCACTTATAAGTGAGAATATGTGGTTTTTGTTTTTGTTTTTGTTTGTTTTTGAGACTGAATCTTGCTCTGTCACCCAGGCTGGAGTGCAGTGGTGCCATCTTGGCTCACTGCAACCTTCACCTCCCAAGTTCAAGTGATTCTCCTGCCTCAGACTCCTGAGGAGCTGGGATTACAAGTACCTGCTACCACACCTAGCTAGTGTTTGTATTTTTAGTAGAGACAGGGTTTCACCAAGTTGGCCAGGCTGGTCTCGAACTCCTGACCTCAGGTGATCCACCTGCCTCAGCCTCCCAAAGTGCTGGGATTACAAGTGTGAGCCACTGTGCCTGGCCAAATTATGGTAAATATATATATTTACCAGAGTATATGTATTATTTACTCTAATATATATATATATATATATATATATACTTTTTTTTACTCTAGTATATACACATTATTTACTCTAGTAAATATATATATTTATATATAAAAATATATATATGTGATATAGTAAACATAATCTAGAAGTATTCTTTTTTTCTAGGTATATGAAAGTGACAGTGTTTAACTTTGAGAATTAGTTAGGATGGCCTTTATTGACAAGTAACACAGCAGACTGGAAGTGAGCAGCCTGGAATTGGTATAGCACCCACACAGTATCACCATTGTTCCAGGTTCCCTTCTCTTGGCTATAGCATATTAATACATGTATTTCCTTCTCATGATCAGCTTATGATTCCAAGAAGGCTGCTCTGCTTCCAGACTTAAAGACTTAAGTCTACCTTCCAGACAGGAAGAAGGAAAAGGTACAAATGTTTGACAAGAGGTAAATATATATGCCAATTGAGTCTGCCCTCTTTTATTAGAAAATAAAAGCTTTCTTGGAAGCCATATCTAATAATTTCTGTTTACATCTTGTTGGCCAAAATGACCATACGGTTATCCCAGCTACTAGAGGAGTCTAGGGGAGGAAAGCACTTTTAGTGGGGCACATTGCCACTATGAACAAAATTGGGTTGTCCTAAAGAAAGAAGAGAATGGATATTAGTTAAGCAACTTGTGGTACCTACATTGATATAAATATGTATGTAATTTTTCATTAATGATATGAAAAATGACATTTTATTTCTTTTAAACCCAAACTAAACTTACCAAATTCTCTGTCCTTCAATCACATATTAAAGCAAATCAAACCAGAAGAAACAAATGCAACTGGGCTTCTCAAACTTACTTATTTTTCTTTTTTTCCCCCAGGGCACAATATCACTCAGGAATTTGAAATCTGGAGTTAGAGTAGTGTTTGACCAATAAAATTCAGTCAAAACACTGCTTTTAATTCTGAAAGCATTCCTGTGACGTGGTTTCTTACGTGGCAAAGGAAGAAATCAAGCATTATAGGACAGGTGTCCCTTTTCTTCTTTTAGTGCCAGCAGGGAAGACTGTCTTTCTCCATTGCCATAGCTGATATTATTAACTAACTAGTTAGCTGATTGGCTAATAGTTTCAATCTAGAAATCCCTTGGCTACGCAGTTATTAAAACGTTCTACCTGTGCTTTTATGTATTTAACACATGTATAATGGATTCAAATTCTACCCATTTATGTCTTATTGGAGGGTCAAAGATGATGATGAATCTTTCTGAGGAAATGTGTCTTTTCCATTCAAATAAATAAATGTGTTTATTTTATTTCCAAAAATAAACAGAATGAAAACTTGTAATTATGCCCTTTAACTGAGCAGGGGTGGAAATTTGGAGAGCAATTCCACTTAAATGATGTAAAAATGAAAAATGTGCTTTTCAAAAACTAAGAGATTATAAAATTTTGCTTAGCATATACCAGAGGAAGCTTTTTACAAGTTTTCTTTCTAATTAAGGGTTTAATTTTCCCTTCATGTCCGGGAAAATACTCCTAGATCTAAGAAACTATTTAAACTTGAAAGCATAGGATATTTGGAATGTTTTAGGACTTCAAAAGCAAACTCTAACCATATGGCATAGGATTTTGTGCACATTAAAGGCAGTATGGAATTCCGGTTAAGGGAGTGTGCTCTTGAGCCAACATCTGAGTGACCATGGGCAAACTGCTTAGCTTCTCTGTGTGTCTCAAGACTCCTCTTAGGTAAACTGGGAGTGACATTAGTATGTACCTAGAAGGTTGGTAAGAGGATTAAGTGAATTAATTTCCACAGATAAGTTTGTAGCGTGCCTGGCAATTTGTTAGCTTTCAAAAACATCAACTATGATTTTAGCTATTCAGAATTCCTCTTTCCCAGTACAACTAAAGAGCTGTTTTCTGGGTCATGTGTATTAGTAACCTTCAAAATCCAGGGTTGTGACAAGCTTCTTTTATTTAAGGTTGGTTCCACTCCCCTTTAAACATAGACGAAAAATACAATGAAAACAAACTATTATCCTTTGATAACAACAAAGTAATAATTAAAGCAAGCATTGCAACAACAAAAACCAAAGCAATAATCCTTTTACTCTAAAAACCATTCAGACAAAAGCCTCAAAGCATATTTCAAAATATTGTGGTAACAATTTTCAGCATATACTGAACTAACTGATAAAGGCTCATTTTTTAAAGTTGTTCTTTGCCTGAAGCAGGAGCGGCCATGAACAAACCACAGGAACACCAAACTGGGAAGGAATGGCAGTTTTATTCGGCTGGGACCTGCGGTTGGCTCAAGGCCTCAATAGCTGAGCTCCCTGACAAAGAAAATCTGCCCTTTTAAAGGTTTACAATAAGAGGTACACATGTGAAAGGGTCACGATCGATTAGGCGTGGGGGACATGACTAGGTAGGGGTCTGAGCAGTTAAGCAAGAACAATGCCTTCCGGGGAGAATTCCTCTATACAGTGTCCCATTAGGAGTAGGGAGTTTAATCTTTAACCTTTAGACCTGGCTGGCTGCGCCAACCGGTCCTTCCACTGACCTCATCTGGCTGACCTTTAATTTTACTTCCTCCTTTCCTCCAAGCACAGGTTCGGAGAAGGGGGTCTCCTTCCTCATGCTCACTAAGATAAACAAAATTTATCTCTGCCGAAGAGGGATGTCAATGGTGATTTTAAAAGAAAAAAAAACTCTCAAAAATAGCATCACAGTGCAAGCAGAGAAAAGAGAATCAGGCAGGACGAGGTGGCTCACCCATGTAATCCCAGCACATTGGGAGGCTGAGGCCGGCAGATCACTTGAGCTCAGGAGTTCAGGACCAGCCTGGGCAGCATGGCGAAACCCCATCTTTACAAAAAGTAGTCAGGTGAGGTGGTGTGTGCCTGTAGTCTCTGGAGGCTGTTGCTGGAGAATCACTTAAGCTTGGGAGGCGGAGGTTGCAGTGAGTCGAGATTGCAGCTTTCCAGCCTGCCTGGGCTGTGGGAGTGAAACCCTGTCCAAAAACATGAATAAAAAAATAAAAATAAAATATTGGACCTTTTCTTTCATAGGTCTCGGTGATTGTAGTTGTGTCTCCTTCCAGAATAGACAGACATTTGGGAGTCAGGCCTCCCTGACTTAGGCACAAATATCCGCACACTTCTAAAACAATAGCTAAGAGTCAATCACAGGAATTTCAAATATTATGAACAAGTTGTATTGGTTAGCTTTACACTAAGGCCTGAGGCTTCAACATCTGTTGGGCATAGTCTGGTAGCCAAAAAAAGCTTCCCACAATAGCAAATACCCTGGGGACTCCTACTTACACATAGCTCTAGAAATGTAAATACAAGTCATATAATTTCATTAATTACTGCTGTAGATAGAACCCAACTATCAAAAATTCTTGCACAATTAAATATAATTGCTTTTCATTAAAATGGTAAATGATGTGCAACAGTCAAGATATTGGTTAATTAAATATTATAGAAATGGAACACAATAGATTCTTATATGGCACAAATGTCTATTTGTAAAAAAAAAAAATCACGGTCAAATATATCAACAAGTATTCTTTGAAGTATTTTTAAATCTTGCTAATCTTGCTAATTATTAGTAAACTCGTGAAAAGTTGGTATTGTGATTGCTAAATATTTCTCAGGAATAAAAGAAGCAATTTCAAACTTATCTGGATGAGCTGAAAATAATGCTATGGTTCTGGGATGAGTAAAAGAAATTCTTGACAATATTTACATACAATATTGTTTTTTCAATACATTTATTTAGTATATTTAGGTTACAATATGCATTACTTTAATGACAACTTATGTTTTAAATACTGGAGGGCTAATTTTTACAGTAGGAGTGTGCTATTAGCAAAGGCCATAAGACGGTTGAATTGAGCTCGGAAAGGGAGGGGAGGAAAGCCGGATGGAACCCTGTTGTCTTTCTAGGTCAGGGTTAGTCGGTACCGGTTAGACAGTGAAAGAGAAAAGGTCAACGCAGGAATTTGGTATTTCCCTGACTTCTCAAGATGAAAGTACGGGCTCTAGGGCTTCTCTAGGCTGTGAAAGAAGCCCACGAGTCTTCCTGGCATGCCCCTAAGTGGCAGTAGGTTTAGGATGGAGGTGGCAGGACGGAGGCCCGTGGTACTCGCCCGCGCCCTCTGCACCCCTGTCCGGAGGCCAGGATGGCCGCGCCCACCCTGGGTAAATTTCAGGAGTGCCTGCCCGGGGCTGGAGAACTCCGTCAGGCTGTGCGAACCGGATCCTGCGAAGGTCGGCATTAAAGGAATACGCAAATTCAGCGTCGTAGCCCCCGCGGCTTAACCGCATCTATTTTTATATCTAAGCCAAGGTCACTCTTTAATACCAGGCCATCGTCCTGAGCTGGGCGCTGCCGGGTGACGGCGGCCGGGGCGGAGAGAGGGGGCGCGGGTGGCGAGGCGAGGGGTCGTGTGGCGCCCCAGGGCTGGCGTAGCCCGCACCTGCGGGGACGGCGTCTGACAGCCGGGCCTGGCGGGAGGCAGGGCGGCGTCCCCGGCGCCAAGGAGGGGCCGCGCAGCACGGGCGGGCGGGGGGATTCGCGGTGGGCGCGGGCGCTGGGCGGAAGCGAAGGCTGTAGGCGCTGCGGCGCTAGTGCGTCACGTCGGCGGAGGGCACGGTGGGCCGCGGCCGACCCGCGACTAGGAGCTGGGAGTTCGGGGAGAGCAGGGGGTGGCCGCACCCGCCTTGGCAGCCGCTAGCGGTGCGGCCCCGGGCTGGCCGGAGGTGGCCAGCGAGCAGCCGCCGGCTCCATTCATTCTCGCGGCTCCGCCTCCTTTCCCTGTCTCTTCCAGCGGCACCCGGGGCGCGTCTGAGGTGAGTGCGCTCCCCATCCCGGGCGCGGACCGCGGGGTGAGGCCGAGGCGGCAGCGCCGGGCCCTCTGTCCCCGCCGGCGATAGCCCCGCTGACACCGAGCTGCGACCCGGTCCGCCGGCTGTGGGCGGCCCCTGCGGGCTGGGCCCGGCGCAGACCAGTGAGGGCCGCTAGGGCCCAGGGCGCGCGTCCAGCTGGCGGCAATCTGCGAGGGCCCGCCGAGGCGTGTGGCGGCCCCAGGTGCGCCCGCCTCTGCCTCGGCGCCACCATTTTGTGAGGGAATGCCGGTCTTGGGTCTTTTCCGCTCGCCTCTGCCGCGGGCCGGTTCCAAGCTGCGGCTTGCCGCCCCCTCCCCTAGCCCTCTCTCCACCAGGATCCTTGGCGTGCGCGCTGATTGCTTTGGCCTGGGAGACGCGGACCCGGGGAGGTGTGGAACTTCAGCGTTTAGACTCGGTTCACCCGAGCAGGTGGCCTCCAGAGATGCTCTAACCGCCTTCTTTTATCTGTAACTACTTTTGGAATAGATATCGTATGATTTTCCCTCCTCTAGAATACAGGTCGTTGCAGTTTTGTCCTAATTCTTTTCTCAGCTCTCTTGTATGCCATTTGTCAAGAGGCCTGGGCCTCAGGAGGTGAAGCCTTGAGCCCTGCGTGGTTTATGGCTCCGGGGGTCTGGATTACACTGACTCCCATGACTGTCCTTGGGGAGAAAAGATGAAGCATCTCACTGGCTTTTTAGTATCTGGGAACCGGTGTGGTATCGTATCCGGTGGATTCGAAGATAACCACCTGATGCTGGTCACCTTCTCCCTCTGGGAGAGCCATTCCCAACGTAAATTAAAACGTGTGTCAGGATTTTGAGGGAGGTTGGGACCGGAGGAACGTTATTTCTAAAAAATTCCTAGAAGAGAAAGTTTTCATTGTGATTCTCACAGAACTGTGACACAATTTGTTGTTTTCAAAGTTCCTGAGAATTTGGGAATTCTTGTTTTAATTTGTTGGCGCCTCAAGAATTACTACTTAAGAACTGAGCAGATTATACCGGAGCCATTTGTATTTTGTTATTGCATCACAGACAGGGATTACAATCGGGAATGCTGGCTGTTGCATAATGCACACATTTGGGCCCTGAAGGGAATAATTCACCGAAGTGGATCTGGGTTTGGTGTGCCACGCGTTTTTATTTTTTACATAGGATGTACAGATAATCTTTGTAAACTACGTCTTGTTGTCCTATTATGAAGTGTTTACAAGAAGAAAGATTTTTAGTAACTAATATGGACCAGACTAAAATTTTTAGTGTTTCAGTTTTGCTTGTTTTGGAGGAAAGGAGGCTAGGAATGAGATTAGTCCGTTTGTCTTAACACTTGAAGCGCAAACGAAGATAAAACATGATGTCTTTCACAGAAAGCTTGTAGCCATTATAGTGGACTTTTCTGCTTAAATTTATGATGAGGATCCATTTGGGGTCCTTAGAAATAGCTTATGTGAGTAGCAACGTTGACCTTTCACATGAGTGACCATAAATTAATGTGTTTTACCTGTAGATTTTAGGTTCTAAAAGGCGTCAAATTAGTCTGACCTTTGAGATGGTATTCAAATCATTACAAATGGTGTCATTTATTTAATAAAGATAGAATATATATCAAAGGATTTTGATTTGGAGAAAACAAAATAATTGTTTTTGAGAGTAAAATTTCCATGTCACCTTCCTTATTAAACTTTTTATTTTCTGTTTTGTTGAAGCCTTTCCTACTAATTTTGTCTTCAAACAAGTGATTCTATATCGTGTACCATCCTTGGCAGAAGTATCATGGTTCCCATTAAAGATATGTTTGTTCCATAGGGAGAATTATGGAGGTGAGAAGAAGCTTGGATATTTAGAGATGAGTCTTGGTTTAGGGAATTAAGTTAAAAAAATTGCCTGCTAGAGATTGCAGAGGACCTGTCTGGACCTATCCTACGCCTATGGGGAATGAGATTATTTTTTTCTAGTAAATAACAGCGCTGTGTCAAACACAACTGTTACACTTTTACATTGATACAAGTCAGAGAAGTTCCCTGAATTGGTAAGATTGTATTTAATTGACTCCAGTTTGGAAGTGATCTTTGGTGTACTTTTTATCTTTGAAGTTGCATGAGAGTTTGAGCATTATTTTACCAATGGTTGAGAAATTGAAAAGAAAAACCTGATATTTTTCTCTGTTATCTCCTCCCTAAATACTCCGTTTTAAGCCTTAAGCATATTATGTTCAGTCATCTGCCTAAAAATTCAATAAGATTTACTTTTTAAAGGTGACTAGAATATAAGAGTTGAGTATTCTATAGATTCAAACAGTGTCTCTCAAGGATTCTGTATACGTTACTTCCCCTAAGGTTTTATGATTCTAAGTGGAAAAAAGGAATTGTGTTTAAGATGATATTCTCTTTACACACCATTATTTTTTGTATATTTAGCCCTGAAATTTAAGTTTTAAATTGGGTATGCCTCAGTGGTGGTAGGAGTATTTCACAATTATTGCAATGATAATAAAATCACTCAAGATAGAATTTATTAAGGAAAAGGCATAATGATTTAAAGATAATAAGGGAAAAACCAATAATTTATCAGAGACATCCATCCTGTAATACTTATTAGACTCATGGAGTTTTAGAGCTGGTATATAATACCTTAAGGTTTATGTGCTGTATATAGGGGACTACTAATCTATGCTAACCTATTTTTTTTAGGCTAGAAAGTTTGTGACTTACCTAAATCCCCCCCACTCCACCTTTTTTCTTTCTTTCTTTCTTTCTTTCTTTCTTTCTTTCTTTCTTTCTTTCTTTCTTTCTTTCTTTCTGATATCATTGTAGTTACTAGCTGTTCAAATAAGATGCTAGTTTTAGTCTAAACAAAGAGCTTTCATTTATTCAACAAACGTGAGTGTCTGTTGTGTGTTGTAGGGCACAAACAGGCCTTACTGTCACGGAGTCTGTAGTTTAGTGAAGTATTGTGGATTAAACGTTAACAATTCTTTAGGGTCTAACTGTACAAAGATTTTTTAAAAATACAAGTTGGGAATAAATTTAGCAATTACATTTTTAAAAAAGTGCCATATTGCCACTTTATTTGTAACTTTTAAGGTATAGAATTATTTTAAATTGGGAGATTCATTACAGTAGTCCTTGTAATGTGTGTTAGGCTGGATACAAAAACATGAATGTGCAAAGTAATCTAGAAATTCAGTCTTAAAGGTGGGACAAACATTAAGCAGGTAATTCTGTGAGTGAGCTGAACAAAGTATATAGGGCATGCAGCGGGGGGCTCCATTCATTCTGTGTGAATGACTCTGGAAGGGCTTTAGGAAGGTGGTGGCAGTTGAACTTGGTTTTGAACAATGGATGAGTGAGAGCTTGTCAGAAGGTTTTTGGGATGTGGGATATGACGACAGTCAGTCCCAGCAAATGCTAAAGCGTAAAGTTATAACTGGTCCTGTTGTGAAAACAGTGAAGTCTGTTGATCTGGCCCAGGTCCCATGGTGCGTTGGGGGCCTGATTGTGAGTGGATGTGTGTAAGTTTTGCTTCATGGTGTTGGGGAACCATTAATGGGTTTTTGAAGGAAGAAATGCTGGGGTTCTCTCTCTTTAGGAAGATCATTGCAATAGCAGTTTAAAAGCTAGACTAGAGTGGAGAAAAGCAACAAGCCCTTATAATCTTGGCAAGGCCTTGAAGCAAAGCTGTGGCAGTGGAGGTGACAGAGGAGGGACTAGAGTTGAGACACATCTGCTGAAGTAGAAAGGCAGTATTTGAGGTGGAAAGAGTTTAGTGTCACACATACTGGATATAACTCAGGGCACCAGGGCTCTGCTGCCATGGTTGTGTGAATGGAGGACAGTTACTTAGGCTTGGCTTCTTTAGCTGTAAAATGAGTGTGAGACATACCTTGCAACCTTATTGAAATGACCAGAAATAGTATATAAAGCCCATTGCTTGACATGTGATATGTGCATAATGATAATACCACCCAATTTTGTTAATGATGACGAAGAGTTTGTGGTATTAAGGGAAAGGAATGACTGAGTGGAGGATGACTTCAGCAGGTTTTAGTGTAGAGCTGGGTAGGTGATTGCTTTGATAACAAACTGTGAAGAGAGGAGGAAGAGAGGATTGTAGAGGGAGAGAAATTAACTGTTTTTTTTTTTTTTTGAGATGGAATCTTGCTCTGTTGCCCAGGCTGGAGTGCAGTGGTGCGATCTTGGCTCGCTGCAACCTCTGCCTCCTAGGTTCAAGTGATTCTCCTGCCTCGGCCTCCTGAGTAGCTGGGATTACAGGTACCCACCACTATGCCTGGCTAATTTTTGTGTTTTTAGTAGAAACAGGGTTTCAACATGTTGGCCAGGCTGATCTCGAACTCCTGACCTCCAGTGATCCATGTGCCTTGGCCTCCCAAAATGTTGGGATTACAGGCGTGAGCCATCACTCCCGGCCTTATTTTTTTTTTTTTAAATTGAAAATAATTCATGTCAGGCCCCTTTATAGCTTTTGTGGATCCCAAACTAAGAGCCTATCTTCTAATTTTAGATATGGTGCTGTTCTCTGTTAATTATTTATACTCATGAGTGGAAACTATAGCTAAATTTAGCAAAAAGTACCTACATTTTATTTTACTTTTTTCTTTTTTAACTTTTAGGTTTAGAGGCTACATGTTGGGTGAATTGTGTGTTGCTGGTGTTTGGTGTATAAATGATTTAGTCACTGATGTAGTGTGCATAGTATTTGATAGGTAGCTTTTTGACCCTTACCCTCTCCCACCCTCTCCCTTCAAGTAAGCCCTGCTGTCTGTTGGTGTCTGTTGTTCCCTCTTTGTGTCCATGTTTACTCAGCATTTAGCTTCCATTTATAAGTGAGAACATGTGATATTTGGTTTCTGTTCCTTTGTTAATTCCTTTAGGGTTATAGCCTCCATCTTCATGCATCCATGTTGCTGCAAAGGACATGATTTTGTTCTTTTTTTGACTGTGTAGTATTCCACAAAGTACCCAAATTTTAGACATCTTGATATTTGGCTTTAGAATATAATATGTATTTTAAAATACTTGAAATTAATTTCAAACCATGGAAGAAGAAATATTAACTGATTTCTGAATAAATTTCATTTGGAGTATACTAACTTTTTTGTATCTGAGTAGCATCTGTGGTTTGAAAGAATAGCATACTGGCTTGGATAGACCAAAGGGAAGTTCTTGTGTGTGTGAGGGTACTTAGGATGGGCAGAGAGAATTTCTCCTTT